CCCCCCCCGATAACAGTAATAGAATCAACAAAGACTACACGATTGCTCGACTAGCATCGAGTTCAGAATCGACCGAGTAAGAAACATTTATTTTCCAAAGATAATTTTGCGCAGTCTGCCTCTTTCCTTGAGCCGCGAGGATACAACTGTTTATCGGGGGCCGGCGGCTGTTACGACGGCATAAATATGGCATCGGGGAAATTTTTCAGACGGTGTAACGATTTCTGACCTCGTTCCGCGAAGAAACGAGTCGCACGCTCGTACACGACTTCAAAGAGCAAGTTACGACGGTGAAAACTTGCGAGGATCGTTACTCGGACGCGCTGGATTGGATGCTCACCGATTGCCGTTCGCAAATACCGTTTCTCGGCAGTGCCGCCGTGCCGACATTTAGACGGATGTAAAAATCGCGTTGCGACGGTCGTGTATTACGCGAAATATAGAGCGCAGCTTTTTGTTGCAGTTCCTTTTCGAAACATTTCGCAAAGCCACGATGAATCGCTCGCGTCACGCAATGACAATTTTAGTGTCGCGACGACGCGTATCTCGCAGTTGTGCGCTTCGCCGACGAAAGACAGACGTGAAATTCATGAGAAAATTGTCTCGAGCTGATTTACACCTTAATTGAGATTGAGTTAACGTCTCGCCAAATTTTGCTAACCTAACTGCGCTTTAAAAAGAAAAAGAAATAAACGAATTTTCTGCACGGAGAAAATAGTACGTGTGATCAACCGATATTGTTTTCTCCATATGCAATATGTGCTTATATGTGCTTATATGTTGTATTTGATGCATGTATGTGTATTTGAATTAATTGTAATGAGAGTAACAAAATATCGTCGAGCTATGATTTCATAATAAGTAACGGCTGATATGTAAGACGATACATAGAAACTGATACGCGGAAGGAACAAGTAACTTCGCGCTAATTACGTTATTAACGCGGATCTACAGCTCCGACAGAGAGCGGTGTGAGCTTTGTGTGTGCCGTAACTTATTTTCGCGTGATGCACAACCACTCACGAGTCCCTTTAAACTCGCTGGTTATCTCCTCATTGAGGACACCGGATCTCGAGGGAAAATCGATGCGCCATGGATTCCTTCGAGAATACCCAAGGGCTCACACAACACGGCTGGGAAGTTCGATACCCGATAGTTAATGAAAATTAATGCCCCGTATTGAATTATCGCTAATCGATGACGTCGAATCTCGCCGAGTTCCGCAACCAGACCGTCTCGTTGCTTAGTTTACCTATAACGACCCATCTTTCATTGCCATTACCTTTCATTGACACCATACACAAAATGTATTTTTAGATTTAACTTTCACTTGTAATCGCTTTTAACTTTTCTTACCTTAATTCATCTGCAGTATATATCCCCGTGATATGCACGTGGTATTGATGTAACGAGTGAGAAATATCTGTCAAGGACGAGTATCGGAGTAAACAAAATAGAAAAAAAACGAAAAGTTTCGTGTGAACGCGCGATCGATATGTGCAAGTTCACAAATGCTTAATTTCGTCAAATTTTGGCCAGACGCACGAACAAGGTGAGCTAAAAATTCATGACTAAGAGTATAAAAATTCATGAATAAAAGTACCTTTTATTTACTTCTTGACGACAAATTATTGCATTGTAAAATTTTCTACGTGACAATTTAAACTAAGAATAAGTCTTTCTATTGAAACTTCTGGCTGATGATCTCTCTCTTTGTCTCTCTCTCTCTCTCTCTCTCTCTCTCTCTCTCTCTCTTTGTTTCTCTTTCCCTCTCTCTTTCAAACTAATATGCAATACTCTTGAATTAGTTGCATATGCATGCGATTACTCTACGCAATTATCCACCGCGCATATAAAACTATAAGGTAATTTCTCTTTGTCAATTCAGAGTTAACGATTATTTTTCTAAACGACTTGCATGCGTATTTTATCCCTCCATCGACAAGACACGCGACTACGCGAAAACTTCGCTGAGGACGTTCGGGGCGCGCACTCCCGCGCATTAATTACTGTTAATTAATGATATACGAACACACCGAACTGGCGGCGGGGAGCACCGAGAGCCATTTATTACGGGCCTTAAACTTTTCGAGTGTCCTCCGCCGCTCCCCCTGCCGTTTCGGGGCTGGTTTTCGCGATGAACGGAGTCCGCGCCGTGTATAACGCGGCGCCGTCCTTCTCTCTCGTGCCTGACGAATATTACGCCGCCGGAACAGGAATAGGAATCGATCCCGCAGCCTCGATACCCGGACAGACGCAGGAACGGTGAACGTCGCTCGCCGAAGGAAAAGAATCACCGAGCATCGAACGATCCGCCAGCCGCCGCGCGATGCAGCCCTCACCTTTCGCCCCTTGACCCAAGCGTTATTAAAAGGGAGCACTTTCACGCGTCGCCTGTCAGCGAGTCATTAAGATTCCTCTCCGTTATCGTAGCCGCGGGATAATTAAAAGTAAAGAGACGTTCCACCAAACAAATATTTCGTGATTTTCTGACTTTCTTCTTCTTCTTCTTCTTATCCTCTCATCATCTAAATTTGCCAGATTAAATGATTCGGTTAATCCCGTAATATTGCATTTTTCTTTTTCTCTTTCTCTGCACGCTGCCATGTAGAAGCGCACCGTGGAGACTCCCTGAGGAATCATATGATTCGCGTCGGATTGATTTAAACTTCAACTAACGAACTGGTATCGTACTCGCTAACAATGCGAGAGAAACACAGGGA